GGACCACAAGGGCCTACCAGGGACCGCAATCAGAAAAGGTCGAACAAAAAGACCGGACCAGAAGCGACCCACAAAGGACTACAAGTGTGTTATTGCTTCAACCTTCGGGGTTCAGGGGTTCTAGGATTGAGGAAGCTCTGGGGATGAGGCTTTCGCGTAAACAACATGAAGACCCTTAATGAAATAGTACATGAATTAAGAACGTTAATGGGTTGATAACTCCGAGAACATATGCCATAAAATAGTTATAAATTCGAAAACATATGTTATAACTATCTTGTAACTGAGGGACCCCACATTGCACCGCACCGTTACTACTGCTGCTACTAATACTGAAGGTAATGGTAATAATAACCGTCGTAATAAGCACATGAATAGTAACATAAATTTCGATATTGAGATCAGTATGTATATTAGTAAGGATATTAACATCTATAGCAATGATACTACTGCGAGCAATGCAAGAAGTACTGACAGCAGCAGAAGTACCAGCAGCAGCATGAGCAGTAGCATAGTGGTAGCGTAGCAGGAGTAGTTAGTAGAGTTGCAGTAAAATTGGAGTAGCAGCCGTGTAGTGTATGATTCGCAACGGCTCAACTCAGCTTTCACACTTCCACAACAACCCACCATGCAGACATGCCGCCGCGCGAGTGGTCACATCATCCTCACGGCGGACGTTGGTAAGGAAGATGAAGCCTGGGGCTTTCAGAGAACCGCATACTTCTGCTCACCTAGATCAATCGGCCATGATGCTGCCCTGCAGACTTGCGACAGAATCACAAGACTTAGAAACTCCAGAACCAAAGAGAGAGCCTTGAAGAAGGATCCAATTATCACAACATGGATGGGTGCGAATCCGCCCTGCATGCAACACGGACCAAGATGCGCATAATGTCTCCAGACTCATACCACTGGTGTGGTGGAAGGCGCTTCACCTGAGCACTAGTTCCAAGACCGGCCTACCAGCTCAGCAGACTTCTCAAAGTCTTGACTTTCAAGTGGTGTCGACGGAGTCTCAAACTGGTCCAGGTCCACATGAGAGTGTGAAGTGCGTCATCCGGATCGCAGCTGAAGTGTCTTATTGAGGGGGTATGCCCAGGCGATGCAACCTCGCATTCGTAATGCAGATAGAAACCAATCTGTTGAAAACCTAACTCCGAGGGAACTCATTCCTGAACAGCCAGGATGCTTCTCGACGGACGCGAGCCGTCTCACGGCGCTTCATGAAGTCATACCTCGGGTCGATACTGCCTCTCAGGTGTCTTCAGAAGAAGACGGTGGACACCAAGAGGTTAGAAGCGGTCATACCTTTTGTGCGCACCTGCCACTTGCCCCAAAGCTACGAGTAGCAATGAACAACTCTCAAACTTCTTGAAGCTTGATCACGAATAACTGACAACCAAAATTATTCCTCGGGGTTACAACAAAGAATGCACTGGACTGTACCGCAAAACCCGGTTCTGATTGTTAATGCCCCTGTATTAACTACAATCCTCAGCTGCTCGAGAAATTTGTCTGAAAGGCAAATCCGCAACTTGCGGAAGATGTAGACATAGACCAAGAGGTATGCCTTTGCATGGGAGCTTAGGGATATGGGGTTTAAGTCTCCAATCTACGGATGGAATCCCATCCCGGCCAAGTGAAGGCTTTAAGACTTTAAGGCTTTTGTCGGGAGTCTTGATGCGGAGGAGGACAGGGGCAGTAAGGGCAGCATGCAGTAGACGTCGCCGTCGTCGTAATGATGGACATGTGGAGCCGTAGTCCTAGTAGATACCACTCACAGAAACCCCATCAGCAGAATTACCGTGCAGCACTGCAGTGGCACTTGCGCTAGGTCAAAACGGTACCTGAGCGGCTGTCAACATGCCACATGTCTGCTCCCTAATAAGTCGCAACAACCATTGCCGCTGGGGCGAGCTTGCAGTCACGACGAAACATCGACATGTTCAGATAGAGTACATCCGTCAATCCATTCATCCATCCATGCATGCATACGCACGCGGAGACACACAGGCAAGCACGCAGGCAGGCAGACATGTGTACATATGTACAAACATATTACGCACCTACATAATTACGCCCATACGTTACAGGCATGCATGCATGCATGCATGCATGCCGGCATATCTGCTTACGCATTTCCGCAAACAGACGAAGGGATGGACGGACAGACCGAGGCCTACCTACCTACCCACCTACGGACAGAAGCAAGTATGTACGCTCAGACTGAAAGACACGCAGACAGACAGGCAGGCAGGCAAGCAAACAGAAACACAGACGTATGTATATACCAGTACACATAATATGATCGACACACTCAGAGACAGACAGACAGAGAGAGGCAGAGACAGAGACACAGACAGACAGACCGACAAACAAACAGACAGACAGAGACAGAGACAGAGACAGAGACAGAGACAGCGAGACGGACAAGTAGAAGACACACATTCCGTTCATGCATGCGTAAATACAATGCCTTTCATGCATGCGTACATACAAGGCAATACGATACAATGCAAGACAAAACAACACCAACATGACATCGATAACATAGGTAGAATAGGTAACCAAGATAACACAGACCACATCGACAGCATACTTTGCGTAAGTAACATACACAACACACAAGCAGACAGCCAGCCAGGCAGGCAGGCAGGCATACAGAAACATACGCAGATGGATACCAGCAAACACAAAGATATGTGTATGTGTCTGTGTGTTTCTCCATCTGTCTGTCTGTTTGTCTGTGTGGCATTCTCGCTTTGTCTGGCTGGCTGTCTGTATGTGCGTATGTATGTACTTATGTACATCTACCTAGCTGTGTGTATATACATATATATATATATATATGTATTTATTTAATATTATATATATACACACACACCCACTCAAGGACTTTCATGTGTATGTGCACACGGTACACATGCATGCAGGCACACACGTGCACACATGTAGCCCACGTCTTTTCATGGCTGGCCGTCCTCCAAAACGAAACGTTGCGAGCCCATTGGATCTAGATTTGGTGCACGTGGTCATGCAATTCAGCAAGGCCAGGATGCCACCCTGTCACAACATCCAGCCGCAATGCGGTTCACACCTGATGGGAAAAATGGAAATTAAAACTCGGCTCTGTTGCTCTCAAGCTGCATACATGTGGCACGATCCGAAAAGCCGGGCTCTTACATAATTCCAGCATCCAGTCGCCACAGTGTGCACAGCCGCTGTATACCGTCTTACTATTCCGACGATGCCCTGCTAGGGCTTGTACTTACATGTCAAACGAAACGAAGAGAGCAACATGCCAATGCAAACTGTCTTCAGGAAACCAATCCTACGAGCAGGTGGCTGCTGTCTGAGGTATAGCTTCTCCTTGACATGCTGGATGACCAGCAGCACCACAACAGGGGCTTGGATGTGCAGGCGGGGGGTTGTTCGGACTTCCAGTCGCTTTCTGGGTCCATGCCACTATAAGGTTGGTAACGTTTTGTCACACACACACACACACACTCGCGAGATTCAATAAGGACAGCAATGAGATTGAATTTAACACTTCTCCCCCGCATGTTGGAAGCTGAATCCAAACTTGTTCACGACACCCTTTGTCTGGGCTAGCCGGTCAAATGCGAAATCTCGACTCCCAGAACACACCAGCTTCAGCCATCACGTCTTCTGCGTTCGAAACGAAACACACATTGTCACACTGTCAACTAGTTCATTCATGAACAGCTGGCTGGTGCATCGCGCCACATGGCATCGTTGAACTTCGGTGTCCCAGACATCAAACCCTTCCGAGCAGTGGGACTCAACCTGCCCCACAAAGAAAGGGCATGGGGCCGGAGGCCATCGGGTCAAGCCGACAGGCCGCAAGCTACGGGACTTTAGAGTACGTAGATGTGTTAAGGGTTTTGGGATATGCGAAGCCCTTCATGCGCAACATATGGACTTATTGAGCAGGGCCGGACGCCCCGGCCCCAGAAAGGGTATGCACTGGTCAAGCGACAGGTGTCCGTTTTTAGATGAAGAGGTTAGCTGATGCTTATTCATCTACACACCGAGGCTCGAAACCAAAATGCCTGAACTTCCAACCGGCTCAACGATGGTGGAAAGCACGGACAAGTTTCTGTTGTGGCTCATCCTCTGAGCTGCATTCCTGGGAAGGTTTCTGCATGTTTCTGCTGTCTGAAAATGGTGAGGCGTTGGTGTTCTGAATCTGCAGGGTGTCTGCAGGGTGTTGATTAAGGGTCTGGGTGAAAACGGCAGACTGCAGGAAGCTAATATAGGGGGTTCCTTATAACATAATATACCCCAAAACCCTTTTGGGGTATATTATGCTATAATTGAGATAATTGAAATACTGATTATTGAGGCCCCTATATTACAGTCATTCGAGGGCTCACGGGATTGAGGGGCTGTTTCCGCCCGACGCAACTGAAGAGCATTCCGGTGTAGGGTTTGGACTCTCTCTCTGGAGCATCTCAACGCGGTTGCCCTGGGGCTCCAAATAGCCCAAAGTAGGTACTATTTATAGACTTTAGACCCCAAAGTAGGTGCTATTTATATACTTGGAGCCCTGGGGTTCAGGAATCAGTGACTTAGTGTGTGCCTCAGACTCGACTCATGTCCCGTGCAAAGAATCGGCTTTGGCTTTGGTGGCGCGGTCTTCGCAAGTTCTGGCAGTGGGGGGCCTTGAGACACCAGTGTCACAAAACCATCCATCGAATCGTAAAAGCTGCAGATGATTTAAAAAGGTGTTTGGCAGCTCTGCAACGTGACGCAGCATGAATATCATGCAGGGTACGGAAAAGAATTGGAGGGCACCGCTTGGCGGTGCCTTCTTCCCCATCCACTCACACTGAATGACCCGCCCAGAAGGTAAACAGGTAATTGGGGCTTGCACTTGGTGACTCTGGCTTCCGGGGCCGGGTAGAAGCTGCTTGGGCAGAAGGGGTAGCGAGAGGTGCTGACGGACAGTGGGTTGGACCGACCACGCCACCTTTTCATCAAAAGATGACGTGGCCATGGCCACTGCCGACGGCGGAGACAATAGGCAACGTCGCAGGGGTCTCTCTGACCGCTTCAACTCTGAGCCATTCGACGATGGAATGGCGCCAAACACACAAGACGCCTAGCAGCAGTAGCACTGCCCAGACGAGCTCATGAAGCACCTCGACGACATCCTGAACAGTCTTGGAATACCGAGGCGGAGTGTTGCAGCTGGTCAGCTAGCTGTACACCTCCGTGTTGCCGCATCCGTGGTTTCTTGTCTGCCTGTCCGTGAGACTGGACACAAAACCGAACTCGAAGTCAGTCAAACTGAAACAATCGAAACAGAAGATGACGGAAACCCGTAGGGATAGCCCTGATTTCAAGGAGGGTCGCGTCCTCTGCTAGCGAGGTGGCAGTGAGCAGGTTCTTGATCATCACGTTGGACATGTCCTTAACATCAAAGCTGTCCTAGGGTGTAGGAACCCTAAGCCCTAAACGTAGGATGTAGGGATCATGAAGGAGAAAGATGAACAGGGGCAGAAATGCCGGGTGCTCGGTTAGTCACGGACAAATAAGCAAATGTAGCCCGACATCAGGTGTCTAATCTCGTAAGACCCTCGTTGCTTACCGTTTCCTCTGGGTTTAGGGTTTAGCACTTCTCGTGTTGCCATGTATGGATCTTAGAGCTCGGCAAAGTGCAGCTAATCACATTCGGAGGAAATCGCGCCTTTTTGAGTTTACGACCATAGGGTTTCCAGCCCAATATTTGGGGTGGGTTGCTACTGAGCTACTGGCGGGAGGATGCCAGCAGTGCAGGGCAAACGCACCACCTAACTCACTCCGAATTTGGGCGCATCCAAGGTCTCGGTACACGGTCACTGCATGAAGCAGCCTTTCTGCACGCCAAAAACCAGGTTTAGGCTTTGGATTCATCGCAATCGGGCCAACCAGGCAGGGCTGTTTCCACGGTCCGACACGGTGAGTTCCTAGAAGTTTGTTGCTGAAGGTCGCTTCTCCTAGGAAGTTAAAGGGCCTTGGATTATGGTTCTCTTCTCAGGTTTTACGCACATTGCAAGCTCGATTCTTGGCATGATGCCCCATGACCTTACTCGCCATGGAGTTACCCTGATGGCCTTCGAGAGGTTGCATCGTGGTAATATGTATGGCTTGTTCTATTTATAAGGTGAGCAGCTAGACAAAGAAAGTCGCACACCCCCTAGGCTGATCCGACCCCCAAAAAGCCACATCATTGCAAGGGAGAGCATCGACTGCCGCGAACATTACCAAAATGACCAGCACGCAGAAGCTGTTCCTGATGGCATGCCGGTTCATGACACCGAAACGGCAAGCATGAGCTCTGCAGACTGGTTTCGTCACCATCAACCCTAAACCCTAAACGCCCTAATCCCAAAGCCCGAAACCCTAAACCCTAACCGCCCTAAACCCTAAATGCCCTAAACCCAAACCGCCTGACTGCGAAGCTTGGGTCTCCTCCGAGTTTTTGGGCTGCAAGGGATCCAGGATACCGGACGCTAAGCGGTAAGGGATCTGAAGGCTCTATGCTTCGGCTTGGCGCAGTAGAACTTTGGAGGTGTCCCTGGGATTTTGTGGGGACTTTTTTAGGGTTGAGGGTTTAGGGTGCTTTAGGGTTTTAGGGTTTTAGGGTTTATAGGGTTTCAGGACTTTGAACGCTCAGAAGCATGAGGATCAAGGTCCTTGTAGGACCACTTGTTCAACCCTCCTGGGAACGCCTGCGGATTTCAGAGTAAAGCTTTTTCCTTCGTGCTGTGATACTGTTGATCATATAAATCCTGCATTACCCATAATAGGGAATATACCATGATTCCCCTAGTTTAGGATGCTTAGGGTCCTTAAGGCAATGCAGGATTTATATCAGCAACCGACTTATGCTCTTCTGGCGCTGTGGGCCTTGAGCATCTCGCGCCTCGGGCTTTTAGCAACTTGTAATGACACGCCCCTGCTCGCTACACCAGCTGCCTCCCTGCCAAATCGGTTAGCAGATTCTGTTTCCCCACTTTACAGATGCAGGAGGCCGGCCATCTTGCAAGACTCCTGTGGAGATACCCCACAAGATTGCCGGTCACACCCTCGACTGCAACCTTGAGGCGTACCTTCAAAGGATTAAAATCCAGAGGATTCTAGGGCCCAACAAAAAAGAGAGAGTCTGGAAGCTGAAGAGCCGAAAGCTCGAAAGCCAAGACTCAAGAAGAAGTCGACAATGCAGCCGCGGCGTTTCCGCATGCAGAATACCAGCTTGAACCTCTGGAGGTCAGGGCTTAGCAAGGCTTACGAGTTCATTAGTGTTGGGCTTTAGGGGTAAGGGGTGTAGGGATTTGGGGTTTAGGGTAGGGTTAAGGGTTTAGGGCTTTAGGCTAGGTTTTGGGGTTTAGGGTTTTATAGGCTTTATAGGCTTAGGTTATTACTACTACTGTTGCTAGTAGAGCGGTCATTCGGCATTGTTGTGCTATTGGCTGCGATGCAAGGAAACAGGCAACACGCACATGCCGCTTACAGGTATTTGCTGTGCTTCTGTGGTGGAAGTGAGCAAGTATACGACCTCTACGGCACATCGCACCTCCGATCTCAATGTTTTCGCATATGACGAACCATGATGACGTCTGTCCCCCCTAGACCATCCATGACCCAACTGTGATGACGTCCGTTGGACCAGTGCATCCGTTTGCTCCCAACCACGACGTCCGTTCGCCTCAATCCTGCATGGCCCAACCATGATGATGGCCTTGGGCATGATGACGTCCGTTCGCCCCAATCCTGCATGGCCCAACCATGATGACGGCCTTGGGCATGATGACGTCCGTTCGCCCCAGACATCCCCAAACCATCCATGGCCCAACGATGATGACGTCCGTGGGACCAGTGCATGCGTCTGGTATGCTTGCCCCAAGCCATGCTGACGTCCGAATGCCCCAGATATCCACGGCCCAACCATGACTATGTACCTGCGCCCCATCATCAATGGCCCAACCACGATGATGTCCGGGTGGGACCAGTGCATCCGTTCGACCAAAACATGATGACATCCCGCAGGACATGCATCGTACAATCCATTGATTTCACACACACGCGGAAAAGAAGATGCGAACATGCTGTGCATATAGTGTAAAAATCGACTTTCCGAAACATAGAAATGGCAGGCGCACGAAACTTCGTAAAAGCTTTCGGCACATCACGCCAGCGAAAAACTGTAAAAAACAGATACGTACGACATGTGTGCTTTGCGTGTCGTCATTGCGTCGCAGAGATGTTTCTCAGGCAATGCACAGGCTCCGCAAACTTCGGGATAAAGCGACACGAGATGCATCCACCGTGGGGAAAGGCTTCGCTATATAATAGGAGGGGTTTAAGGCAAACTTTAGGGTTTAGGGTGGTCTGCTTTTAGGTTTAATTCTTGTCTCGGGTTCAGAGCTCCGGCTCTCGCAACTCGGAGATTCCAGGCGAGGCGGATGGTGACGAGTCTGAGACAATTGGCGGTAGGGGGAACTGAGATGACGACAAAGCCTACACCCCCTTCCGGGTTTAGGGTTTAGGGATGGCAGGAAAAAGCTGGAGCAATGCTAATGCTGCAAGGTTACGTCACGGCCAGGATTAACGGAAGCGCCAGGAGCCAATATGCCAGCAAATAGACGGTGTCTCGAACGAAGAGGGTGTAATCCTGAGACATCCGGCAGGCTGCTCTTATCGTTGTATACACTGTGCCAAAGCACTCGCACACGTACGAACACGCACCACGCACGCGAGCACGCACGCACGCACGCGCGCAGACAGACAGACAGAC